TGATTTATAAAAACCTTATGCAAGTTTTTGATTTGTAAAAATTTTACACACATTAAGTTTCTAACCAAGTTAAAATAAACAGAAAAATTTTTTTAACTGGTTCACCCTAGATCTGGACACACGTTGCTAGACAACTTTTATACTTTATTTTAAGCAAACAAAATGAGCACTCCACTTACATGAATTTCATATTTCCGCGTCTGACAAAATGCTATCAGCTGTTGGTGGCCGGTGCGGGGTGCAGCGCAGTTATGTAGTTTTTCGTTGATTATAGCCTTCGCTGGTCAAATGTTGAAAGTTCCTTTAGTTTTGTTTTTTAGAGTTTGTATAGCGGCGTTTGCAATACGATTTTTTTATTTATATATTTATTTTTTTTTTGTTGCGTTTATTTGTTAATTGTCACCGCGGCGTTGGCATCACGATGCAATTATTACTAATTTTCGATTTAAATCGCGGGTACTTCGACCGTTGGGCGCCAGTAACTAATCCCGAGTTTCGATATCAAATGTAAATATTTATTGAGCTCAACTGAGCCCTTGAGTTTCCAATTTAGAACTGACTTAAACATAGTTCAGCTCCTGACAACATAACCCATGGCTCGCGGCAGCGCCGGAGCATAGCCCATGGCTCGTGGCAGAGCCGGCAACAGAACGCTGACTCGGCGCCTCGTGACCGTTCTTGCGGCGATCACTCGACGCAGGCATGCGGGTGTCAGGTTCCGTTGGCAACTAAGTTGCACAAGCGTCCGGTCCAATGACCTGGTCAGCACAATTTGTCTTGCGCGTGTTAACTTATACACAAAAGATTTGCAATTACGATTGCATCGAATGCTGTGTTCATGTGTTCATATACAAAATATGCAAGTATGCGTGAATAGCAAGTCCAAAACGAACGAGCTAAAATGAAAGAATTTCGCATCGACTTGGCAAACCCTTTCATTATTATAATTACTCGTCCCCTCAAAAGGGAAGAAATATTTGTGTGTGTATGTGTCTGCACAAGCAAAAATGCCCACAAATTCAATTTTTGTCAAAAGTCGGTGGCATTTCTTCCCTTTTGAGGGGACGAGTAATATGAAATAATAAAAGGGTTTGCCAAGTCGATGCGAAATTCTTTCATTTTAGCTCGTTATTGTTGGAAAGGGTACCTAAGCGTTGGCATGTGTGCATTTAAAAGTTTTTGGACTTGCTATTCACGCATACTTTCGTATTTTGTATATGAATAGAAGCATTTATGCGCATGTGTGCCTGTTAGTGCCTGCCTACCTGTCCGATGCAAATTTGACAATATTTTGGGATTTATGCATTTCGAAATTTCAAAATATCAATATTCTTCTTTATATGATGTTGGGTTCGAATTGATGAATGAATGTTGACCCCTTATTACCTGCAGCAGCCCGTTGGGCCGAAAGGGTAAACTTTTGGCAAGCACCTGCACTTGCATATGTACATAGGTCAAGTGACTGCTCACTTAAATAATTTTATGACCTGCGGATATTTGTGCAAAAATTAAAATCTTCAATTACATATATTTTTATTGTATTAAAGATTTCATTGACTTATCATATTCAAGCTATTCAATTCAAACCCTAAATCATGAAAGAAGGGCACGTGTCAAACGCCTGCCAATAATGATATTTTTAAATTTTGCGCCCATGATCAGCCTATTCACACACATTTGTGTCTGTGTGTGTGTGTGTGTGTGTAGAGCTCGAAATTCATAAATCCCAAAATATTGTCAAATTTGCATCGGACAGGCAGGCAGGGACCAACAGGCACACATGCGCATAAATGCTTCTATTCATATACAAAATATTCAAGTATGCGTGAATAGCAAGTCCAAAAACTTTTAAATGCACACATGCCAACGCTTAGGTACCCCTTCGAACAAGAACGAGCTAAAATGAAAGAATTACGCATCGACTTGGCAAACCCTTTAATTTTTTCATATTACTCGTCCCCTCAAAAGGGAAGAAATGCCACCGACTTTTGACAAAAATTGAATTTGTGGGCATTTTTGCTTGTGCGGACACATACACACACAAATATTTAAACGGTACATAGACAAATTGAAAGAGCATTGAGAGTAAGCCAAATCAGTATCCTGTAGTGGGAGCGAGATAAAAAACAGCGATGCCGTTCTACGACACAGGTCATATGTATTCTTACTCTCTTGCTGTGAGAGCATGCGGGCATGTCTCGAACCCCAACAAAAACGAAGGCGACTTTGGACCATCCGCATTTAAAACGCTTGTCACCACCAAATGTACGGTTTGTCCAGTCTATATGTTATTTGGTTAGTGGTTATATGTTTTACCAAATACAATAAGTATGTGCCATAGAGGGGGTCGTGTTGAAACAATAAACGAAATATTGAAGCCATACGTCCCAATCAGTTTTATCAACTGATATGTATGATCGTATGTATTCATTAAAAGTACTATAACTTCTTTCGACTGTTCCAACTCTCTGGTGGTGGTGTGCGGTATTTGTTATGTTTTTAATTTTTAAATATGTGCACAAATCACTAATTATCGAATTTTTATATTCTGTTCCCATGCCCGTAATGAACGTCTTCATTGGACCGTACTTCAGAATAAAAGATTCAAATATAGATATTTTGTTAAGTCACATATCAGTGTAACTGCATATTCATTGCCTTACTCTGATTTTGGTAGTGTACCGATTGTGTCTACTATTACTCTATCAAAAGCATTGATTGGGATATCCGTAATTGTTAAAGGAGTGTTTGTGTGTGTTGTCACTTTTGATTTTTGACATTTTCGAATGTACTCAGTAATATATCGAGTCATACCTTTCCAAAAATAATGTCTTTTGACCTTGGCCAAGGTTTTATTAATGCCTGTGTGAGCTCCTTGTAGTGGATCATTATGGAATGTAGACAATATAGCTTCTTTTTCTTTTTTTTTAGGGCACCGGGTTGAATAGCGCTACTCTTAATGTTTTCAATATTTTATTGCCCATTTTTTTTAAATTATCAATTGAAACTTGTTCAAAGATATTTTCCCACGGTGCCACTTTGAGTTGGCTGTTTTGATGCATACCGGCTTGCATTTCAAGCCTTTGGAAGAACTGACCTAAGTCCAGAATTCCATTAGTATACAAATCGCTAACATCATATCTTGCAGTAATTTTATTACCCTGAACCCATTGAAAATGGGTAAAAATGGCATAATGTATTTGTGCAAATGTATGTAACAGGCAGAAGGAAGCATCTCCGACCCCATAAAGTATGTATATCATTTTTTTTTTTTTTTATTATTTCTTTATTACTTCTAAGTCAAACGAGCGCGTAGCGCGAGCTGCATTTGGTGTTGGAAGAAGAGGGTTCAGGGTATCCCCTAGTCGGGAGCTCCCGACTAGAACCTCTTACTTGTTTATTTTGTCTTGAATAAAAAAACCCCGGACCTCGAGCCAGCCAAACAAACAATTATAAAATGGAAAGGTCGTCAAATACAACATTATATATCAAGAAAAGTTACTTTCTTTGAATTAGTGACATGAGTTTTTTATGCGCACCATGGTGTCGCTATATTGTCAATTAAAATCCAGACTTTAAGCTAAGAACAATAATTGTTATACTGCAAGCCCCAAAAATGCTGATCTTGTGCCTTTTGTACGTCTAACGGTCACGCAAGGCAGTGACAGAGTCATTGACCGGGCTATTCATATCGATCGGTCGTCTTCGGACCTCCACAAGGATGATTCAAGTTCTGCTAGTAATTCAGTACCATGTCTCGCTCGTAGACGGCGGCGAATCAGATAGGCGGTGCCGAAACAAGTGAGGGTGTTCGCTTAAGAGAAGCAGCCACTTGCAATGAGACACGACACCAAATTGGTCTTCAGATCGCCGTTGTACCGGAGGCTTAACAGACTCAGCTCGTGGAGAAAAGGCATGCTGAAATATAGGGCTGATCAAATTAATTTTTGCCAATATGATTGAAAGATTATATTTGTTAATGTTGTTTCAAACAGGTGTCAGTATGGTTCGTTTTTTTCATACTTGATCTCCTGCTTGGAAATTCATGTGTGACATTTTCTTATTTGACTGTTTGAGGTTCATGTTGCTCCCTATGTTGGGTTTCTAGCTCAATTGAGGCTGAGTGTACTATTTCTATCCATTTTTTGTTAGTGACGGATTGAATATTTCTATTATATGCAATTGTGGTAAGGAGGATTAGATCAATAATGTCGTCAATATGTTTTTCAAATGTCCGCGAAGGTACTGTGGAATCATTCCACCTGTCCTTTTGATGTACTATGTAGGGTAGTGCATTCGTGATTGTATGTCATAATTATTTGCAAGAATGGTTCGGATGGTTTCGAAGTTTAATGACTGTTTGGTCAAGTAACAGCAGAGACAACACCGACGGCTGCGGACATCATCCAAGCAGAAAATAACAATCATAATTACAGCCTAAGAGCAAATAGTTTTTGCGCGCTCTTTGTAAGCTGCTGCCCACTCTCTTTCTGCATTGCTTTGCTTTGCATTGACTCCCGCTGCCCTTCGCTCTAACCGTCGAGCGTCTTATTGGAGTTTCGTTTCGTTCGCTTTACATATTGTCATAGTTGTTAGTTTTTCGTTTGATCGCAACCTAGGCACAACTAATTCGAGTTGGCTGCCAAGCAACAATATACAAAACATAATCTCTACTAAGTGCCCTGCGCGGCAATAAATATATTCGAAAACAAATATACATAAGTGTTTGAATTTCGCTGCACACAAGCAGTTCGAATTAATTAGTTGCAAAAAAGCTTGCAACTACACATTTTGGTGACCCCGACGTGATCTTCTTTTTCGTCTATTTTTCTTATACTTCGTTCTTATCGTTTGCTTGCGCATCTGCATACAGTTGGTTGTTATACATAAACGCCGTAGCAAATCCCCGTTAATCGTTGCGCGCTATAAACAGCTATACGCTATCTCGCTCGAACGACACTTGTTCGGCTGTGTGAACCTTGTTGTGCGCTACATTCATAATGTTTGACGAAGGTGCAAGTGCAAATGGAAATGATGAGACGACATCAGCTAGTCAAGTGGCGGTTGGAACCCAGGCTGCTGTTCTTAAAATAAAGATTAAGAATTTAAGTGATCGACTCAATAGATTGTCCTCTGAACTTGATCCCGCTCGACTTCGCGATGTTGATGACTACGAGCTGCAAGATTACATAAGCATGGCATCTGACTTGCAGGCGAAATTTGAAACAGTCTATGATAGTTTGCTAGATGTGGGTCATGCCAGTGTTGAAGAGGATCTTCAGACAAGTTTTGAGTCAACTATTAGGCAGCTACGGGTGTCCCTTCAACGCGAACGCGGAAATCGAAGCAAGGTTCAGCAGATTCCGCATTGTTCCACCTTCAATTCTGCCGCAGCCGATGATTCGCGTTCTACCTTTGTTGTTCCAAACCACTCTCGATTGCCTCAACTTAAATTGCCGGAGTTTAGTGGAGGCTACACAGAATGGGCCGATTTCTCGAACATGTTCACCACGGTCATTGACAAGGATCCGTATTTGACCAACATTGAAAAACTCCAGCATCTACGGTCATGCCTTAAAGGAACAGCACTGGATACAATTCGCTCCTTGGAAATTTCAAACGCTAATTATGCTGCCGCTTTAGAACTGCTTGATAAGCGTTTTAATAACAAGCGTCTTATTTTTCAGGCACACATCGCTGAAATTTTGGGTTTGAGGAAGGTGGATAAGGGCGCGACGACACAGCTGCGCGAATTTTCAGATAAGCTCAACTCTCATCTACGTGCTTTAAAATCGATGGGCAGTGTGGAACAGATCGCCGGCTGCGTCATAGTACACACGTTGCTGCAAAAACTAGATAGCACTACGCAAGCTAGCTGGGAGGATGATGCGCCGTTGGACGTCATACCATCATGCGAGCGGTTTACAACCTTCATCGAGAGGCGTTGCCAAAGGCTGGAAAATGCGGATCACGCTACGACAATGTACACGCCTAGCTCCCATGTGGGCCAGAACAACAGTGGTAGAAGAACGTTTGTAGTGACTAGGAATGGAACGAGTGCTTGTGTGTTTTGTGAAGTCGCAGGCCACTCTATTTATAAATGTTTGCAATTCGCAAATTTATCGCCCTCGCTGCGCCTTCACGAAGCCAAGCGGCTTGCGCTGTGCTTAAACTGCCTGCAAAGGGGACATCAGCTGAGAGTCTGCGGCTCCAGCGCTTGCAGAGTTTGTGGAAGCAAGCATCATAGCTTGTTGCATCTTGGCAACACAAGCAGTCACATCGCTGCTTCTAGCTCAAACAATGCACAAGATACCGAAACTTATTCGTCATCCCAAAACACCTTGGCGGCAATTTTATCTTCGCCACTCACTACCGCCCAGCATCTCAAGCACGATGTTGTCCTGCTTGCCACTGCCGTCATCAACGTGAAAAATCGCGCTGGCTCCTTGGTGCCCTGCCGTGCGTTGCTCGACTCTGGGTCGCAGTTGCACATCATCACCTCTCGTCTTGCTCATCAGCTCCAGCTGCGCAAATTCAAGTCAACAGCAATCGTCTCTGGCATTGGTGATGCAGCATTTGCGTCCGATGGTTTTTCGGTCAACATCAATGTCAAATCTCGAGTGTCGGAGTACTCCACATGCATCCCGGCCTTGATTGCACCATCCATCACCGATAATCAGCCTGGCTTCACTCTTGACCCTGCATCATGGAACATTCCATCAAATATACAACTAGCTGATCCTGAATTCTTTAAATCTCAGCAAATCGACATGTTGATTGGAGCCAGTCTGTTCTTCGATCTGCTATGCGTCGGCCAGATTAAACTGGCTGCTGGACTGCCGATATTGCAAAAGACTCGCCTTGGTTGGGTGGCTACGGGAGGTGCTTCACATGCAGGAAAATCATCATTCATGGCCATGAGATCAATGGTGAATCCAGATCTGCTGGTTGACTCACAGCTGCATCCGAATGCACAGATTGATGAATTAATCCGTCGTTTTTGGGAATTGGAATGCTGCACCGAGCCTGAGTCCTTACCAAACAAGGAGGAACGCGACTGTGAGGCACACTTTCAGGCCAATTTTAAACGTCTGTCGACTGGCGACTATTCAGTTCGTTTACCGCTACGACTAGACATGTATCAGCTGGGTGACTCCTATCAACAGGCGGTTCGTCGATTCCTGAACTTAGAAAGAAAACTAGACCGCAATCCAGCTTTGAAAACCCAGTATGCAGCATTTATCAAGGAATATCTTGACTTGGGTCACATGTCACTTGTTACCTCAGCTGCACTGGGCCAATGCAAGTACTACCTGCCACATCACTGCGTGCTGAAGGAGGATAGCACTACAACCAAGCTAAGGGTCGTGTTTGATGGCTCGGCAGTTACTACCTCTGGACACTCGCTGAATGATGCACTGATGGCAGGTCCTACCATCCAACCGAAGCTGTTTTCGATACTGATGCGGTTTCGTACATTTGCAGTCGCCCTGACAGGCGATATATGCAAAATGTATCGATGCGTACGAGTCGAACCCGCAGACAGTTATTTTCAATGTATCTTGTGGCGTGAGTCTCAGCATCAGAAGATACAGATTTACAAATTAGACACCGTCACCTACGGCACAAAACCAGCATCGTTTCTCTCAGTGCGAGCTATGCACCAACTGGCCATGGATGAGCAGAAAACTTTCCCTATTGGCTCTGACATTGTTAAAAGAGATTTCTACGTGGATGATCTCATTTCTGGTGGTAGCTGTGTTCAAGAAGCGATTGAGATATTGAAGCAAACATCTGGACTACTCGCCAAGGGGAACTTTAGGCTGCGAAAATGGTGTTCTAGCGACACAGCTGTACTCCAAAACATACCGGAAGAGGATAGAGAAACGCTGCTTAAGTTTGACGATGGCAGTGACATCACGAAAACGTTAGGCCTCGTTTGGGATCCCGCTTCAGACTGTTTCCTTTTCTCCTTCTCGCCACTGAGGTTGCCCTCCAGACTGACAAAACGGTCGATACTTTCCGCAATTGCTCGCTTTTACGACCCACTTGGTCTTGTTGGTCCCGTCATAACAAAATCGAAAATTTTTATGCAGGATCTCTGGAGAGAAAAACTGGACTGGGATGAGAGCCTGCCCGTACACTTAAGCACAGCCTGGGTCAACTTCTGCGCTGATTTTGAGTATACTCAGCAATTCCAGTATCCCCGTCGAGCACTCTCATCAGACAGTACAGTGGAAATTCACGGATTTTGTGATGCCAGCCTAAGCGCTTATGGAGCATGCGTCTATACAGTCTCAAAGTGCCATGGCAACACCAGCGTGCGTCTCTTATGCTCCAAATCGCGTGTCGCGCCTGTGAAAACCATCACTGTACCAAAGCTGGAACTCTGCGGAGCTGCATTATTGGCTCAACTTCTCAGCGAAATATGCCAAATGAAAGTGTTCGACTGTCGGTATTACTGTTGGTCAGACTCTGCCGTGACTTTGGCTTGGATTCGCAATGATGCTTCGAAATTCAATGTTTTCGTGGCCAACCGAGTCGCAGCCATCCAAGAGCTCACCACTGGAATGGAATGGCATCATATTCCCACTGAGTTAAACCCGGCGGATATAATTTCACGGGGAGCGCTGCCTAGTGAGCTCTTCCGGTCTCCATTATGGGCCAATGGTCCGAGTTTTCTCAGTAAGGGAAAGGAAGAGTGGCCTGCCTCCTGTGTACCTGTCGAATCCTTACCAGAACTTCGACACAAGGTACTGCTCGGAACTGCAGCGCAACCTGATCTCTCGATCGGCTGCAAGTTCATCAATTCGTTTTCCAAGCTGCAGCGGGTCTTTGCTTATGTTTACAAATTTGTAAATCGAATCCGAGGAGCTGAACTAACTGTTGACCACTTGCATCATGGCACACATTGGTTGCTGCGGTCAGTGCAAATGGCTACTCTTAGCGATGACTACAAGGCATTGAAGGAAGGAAGGCATGTCAAACCGTCTAGCTCAATGGCCTCTCTTGCACCATTCCTTGACGACTTCGGCCTACTCCGCATCGGTGGACGGCTGAAAAACTCGTCGTTGGACTTCTCAGCGCGACATCCGATTATATTGCCCCGTCAGCATCCTGTGACGCGAGCAATCATAGTTCACTTTCATAAACGAAACTTACACGCTGGACCTCGCGCTTTATTGTCTTCGATTCGGCTCCAGTACTGGCCCATTGGCGGTCGAAAAACAGTCTCCAGTATTGTTGCCAAATGCATAATCTGTTTTCGTGCCAAGCCACGATTGGCAGAGCATATAATGGCAGACCTACCAGCTGATCGTCTTGATACATCGTATCCCTTTATGGTTACTGGCGTTGATTACTGTGGACCATTTTACTACAAGAACGAAGTGCGCAACAGGCCACCAGTGAAATGCTATATCAGTCTGTTCATATGCTTCGCTACAAAGGCGGTGCACTTAGAGCTTGTAAAGGATTTGTCCACAATATCGTTTCTAAACGCCCTAAAACGTTTCATCCTGACTCGCTCTCGACCTTCAAGGATCTGGTCTGACAATGCGACAAACTTCGTAGGTGCCAAGAACGAACTAGCAGATCTGAGCCGCCTGTTCCTGAGTGACGAGCATGTCAAGGCCGTTAACGAGTTTTGCCTATCCGACTCAATTGAATGGTTGTTCATCCCTCCTCGCTCTCCGCACTTTGGCGGACTATGGGAAGCCGCTGTGAAGACTGCTAAGCACCATTTTTATCGATCTGTTGGCTCTTCCATTTTGGATTTCGATTCGCTGCGCACGCTCGTCTGCCACATCACGGCAATTATTAATTCTCGACCATTACTTCCACTTTCAGAGCATCCAGGTGATCTTGACGTCTTGACACCCGCACACTTCCTGGGTACAGCGCCAACTTCATCATACATTGAGCCCGATCTAAGGCAGCTTAACTTCAATCGGCTTAATTATTTTCAGCGCGTCACATATCTCCAACAAGTATTCTGGGCCCGTTGGCGCGAAGAATATTTGACGCTTCTTCAACAGCGCTCCAAATGGCGCACTCCTCAGCCTGGACTCTCCATTAACGATGTTGTCCTTGTAAAGGATGAGAATCTACCGCCGCTGAAGTGGCCACTAGCTAGAGTGCAAGAGCTGATCTCTGGATCTGATGGGGTATCCAGAGTTGCTGTGCTTCAAACTGCGACTGGGGTCATACGTAGAGCTGTACGAAAGCTGTGTTTGCTGCCCAAACAGGATGATGTTGAAAGCCCTTGCCTTCCAACGGGGGAGAATGTTTGGTCAAGTAACAGCAGAGACAACACCGACGGCTGCGGACATCATCCAGAAGAATAAACAATCATAATTACAGCCTAAGAGCAAATAGTTTTTGCGCGCTCTTTGTAAGCTGCTGCCCACTCTCTTTCTGCATTGCTTTGCTTTGCATTGACTCCCGCTGCCCTTCGCTCTAACCGGCGAGCGTCTTATTGGAGTTTCGTTTCGTTCGCTTTACATATTGTCATAGTTTTTAGTTTTTCGTTTGTTCGCAACCTAGGCACAACTAATTCGAGTTGGCTGCCAAGCAACAATATAAAAACATAATCTCTACTAAGTGCCCTGCGCGGCAATAAATATATTCGAAAACAAATATACATAAGTTTTGAATTTCGCTGCACACAAGCAGTTAGAATTAATTAGTTGCAAAAAAGCTTGCAACTACACAATGACCGTTCGTTATCGCACTAAATTGTGCTTATTCTTGGGAAAACTTTTTCCATCTGGGAAAATGGGGCTAGTATGTCAAGGATCGGTAGTGTGTTTATAGGTTGGACTACAGCGAATTTGGAAAATTTGTCGATACACGTCAAGATCTATTCCTTGTCGGTGAAAAAAATGTCGACATGCAAAAGTTCCGCTGTGAATGATGGTAAGGAAGCTTTGGTTATGAACTGTTTAACCGGGTACTGTTTCACTTTGCCCTTGAACAGATTTTGCAGTTTGCTGCACTCACCGTAGCTGGTCTGCTTATTTTAGGAAAGAAAAAGTCATAAACTATTTGTTTAACATTTTTTTGTGCGCTACGGTGCGCCTGTAGTGGTCACAATTTATCTTTGTTGCAGACATAAGTAACAAAGCTGAACAAAGTGTTGGAATACCTGAAAGTTGTTGAAGGGAATGTCTCTACTAACCTGTGTTGGATTAAAACCAGTATCGTCAGCTCGTAGTGTAATGGGTTGATTACGTCAGTTTTGGCTAAGACTTGTTGTGTCTGCGATAAGGGTTCTCTATCTATGAATCGGAAGTCATGTCTATGTTTCTCTTTGAAGAGGATGAACGTTCTAACCAAAGGCAATTGTGCTTCCTCAATGAATATTTGCTTTAGAGTAGTTATTTCAATGGTATATGCTAACTTTGACTAGTGGCGCTATTTGAACCAGCGTCCTTATGTGAATCGGAGTCATTGCCATCAGCCACCTGATTCTCTTTACCTGGTTTAAAAACGAAAATTGCATTGTGTCGTCGATAAGGGTTTTCCCGAGCTTTACCTTTACGTTAAAATTTGTATACCGCGAACGTCAATGGTTGATGATCTGTGTAAATTTTAAGGTTTCTAACACTGTTTAAGGTTAATCTTGTGTGTTCTTGAGAGCCCATGCTATGGCCAAAAGTTTTCATTCGTTTGTCGCAAAAATTATTTTATTGTTAAAACTAACACTGTCTCTACGCCGTTTACCGAAGAGTCTGTCTTTAAGTCGAATGGTCTTTTAAAATCTGGGTATGTCAGGAGCACACTTTCTGATGCTAATATGCGTTTAAATTTGTCGAAAGCTTGTTGCTGCTGTGAGTTAAGATTAATATGAACCTTGCTGGACTGAAACATTTTTAAGTCACCTGTACTAGCGAGATAGACCCAAAAAGGACCTAAGGAGAAGTACAAAGTACTTGGAAGGTGGATGTTTTTGATTCTTGATTTTTCCGGTGAAGTTGTTATTCCACCTCTGGACACACCAAATACCAAATACTACACAGTTTTTTTTAAAAATCTGGGAATCTCATTCCTGCGTCAAATAGACTTTTAAGGACCCAATCAATGTGATTGATGTGGTCTTCTATATTCTCTGAGAAGATGATTACGTTATCCACATAGACGTAGGAAGTGTTCTCGATTTGCTCCCGTAGGAAGTCGTCGATCGCCCGTTGGTATATGCTTAGTGCATTTTTCAAACCAAATGTAAGTCTTCCAAATTCGTACTTGCTTTTCCTAAGTGTAAGAGCTGACTTCTCCTATCTTTCACTACCAGCTCAATCTAAAGTAAGGTCTGGGCTTTAGCCATATTTGACTGTATTGCCGAATTGATATGGGTATGGGGTCTTTGTCATCTACGGTTTTTTGATTTAATATTCGAAAACTAATTACTTAACTTTTTTTTGGCTAATCTCATCATGTCCTTTTTTCCAACAACCCAGAAAGTGTAGTTGTATGGTGATCTGATCGGCTTTATTATGCCAACTGCGAGAACTCTTCTGCCTTCTGCATTGACGAAATCAGCTATGTTCATTGGGTACGGATATAGCTTAGAGTATACTGGTTCCCCGCCTGTGTGGATTGTGGCATCAGTATTTTTATACCCTGAACCCATTAAAATTGGGTAAAAAGGGTATAATGTATTTGTGCAAATGCATGTGACAGGCAGAAGAAAGCATCTCCGACCCCATAAAGTATATATATTCTTGATCAGCATCAACAGCCGAGTCGATCTAGCCATGTCCGTTAGTCTGTCCGTCTTTCCGTATGTCCGTATGTATTAACGCAAGGATTCTCATCTAGACTCCATAATTGGTGTGGCTGTTGGGTAGAAGCGGCGGCAAGTAGTGCGGTTAGTTGCGAGTTCGAACCCTGCATAGGGAACTTTTTTTTTAATATATCATTAATATTAAGTAAATGAATAGGGCACTTTTGAAAGTGTGCCATCCATATAGGGGGCTTAATATAATTTTAAGAAGCCCCGGAATCATTGAGGAGCTTTATGGTGTCCTGCTACGGTTCTTGTGATGAAGGGTGCTCGGACAAATCGTCTTGTGGTGGGAGCTTCACTCTGGGCTACAGATTCATAGCTCCAACTTGGTCTTACTGACCCTGGGTCGTATGCTTTGATTGCCCTCATGCTCGTTTTCTAAAAAGTTGTTTCGGCTGTCTGTAGCTACTCCTGTGTCAACTGAGCCCTCGGCTCAGGGCCTTAGATATTCTTATTTTATGACGAAACGAGAGTTGTTTTGAGCTATATTATTTGTTGTGGCTTATAATTGTCCGGATTGTTGGCTGAATTGTTACTATTAACTTGGACTTTACTCAATTCGGGGATTTTGTCCTGTTAATTATTATTATCAGTGGATTGTTGGCGGTCGCTATGACGCCATCGCTGGTGCGTTGGTTCCCGGTGTTATGAGTGTTTTCCTCATTGTGTTTGGCATAAGTTAACGTGAACGCATAGCGATCTTTGCTCACTTCTAACTCCAACGCAAAGACCATTGCCGAGGCCCGCTGGGAAGCCCGCTACCCTATTGACTTCTTGAGTTCAGAGGCGAATGCCTGCAGAGCTTCACTTCAATATTTTGAGAGATTTTCTTTTACTGCTGGGTCGTATGACAAGAGAGTCTTATTGTTTTTTCTTCCAAATATTTGAGTAAGGGCACCTCGCCTGCGTCAGTGTCCTCAGCTCTTGTTTAACGACACACACTGCTGTCTTGTCAGCGTAAGTGTCAATATAATCACGTGATAATTGCGTTGAAGTTCAAGCCAACATTGCGTTTACAAAAACTCTTTCTTTATTGTGTATAAATGAAACTGTTTAATAATATAATAAGAGAAATAAAATAATAAGAGCTGCCATTGTATGGCTTGAAAATTGCGTAGGCGTCAATTGCTGTATGTCGCAAAGAGACATAGTCTTCTTGTTTGGTCTGTTATTATTTTTTATTTTTTTAATCGTCTTTGTGTTGTGTTATATCTGCTAATTAAGCTTTAAAGAGTGTTGACTGATGTGTAAGGTCGCAGCTATTAAGTTAAAAACCTCTTTTGTGTTCATTTCCGCCAGCTTAGCAATAGGTATTATGCCTTACATTTCAAATAATGGCTTTTTATTTATTATAATTTTTTGTTAATTACAATTTTTTTATATATTTTTTTATTATGATATTTATTATATTATTTTTTAAACAAATTTGTTTCTTTTTATTCAATTAACGACTCACTTATGTTATATGTCTGAATCTATTTTGGTTGCTTGCATTTACTTTTCCATTTGTTCAGCAGCCAGACTTCTTGCTGTTTTTATTTCGTTATACCCTATTAAAAATGGGTTCAAGGTATAAAAAAAAAGTAAGAGTGCTCTATTCAGGAGTTTCCATAGTAGGTATCCCTTATAGCTCCTATGCCTTATCATTAAAACAAACCTAATTAGGTTCCCTATTGTAGAGTCACACTTGCAGCTGCCTTCAACCGACTGAACTACTTTCAATGGCCTCATCTCCACAGCCATTCTAAAAAATTAGTTTCATCCAAAAAAACTTAACTGACTAGTAAAAGTGTCTAGTCGGTAGTTCCAGACTAGGGAATAGCCTGAACCATTTTCTACCAACGCTTCCTCGTGCTTTAGCAGTATTAAAAAAATTAAAAAAAAAAAAGTAACAGCTTCTTGCCACCGCATCTGGTTGACAGCCATTCCAACAACTTAATTTTGATATTATCGCTTTTACTGAGACCTGGCTAAAACGGGACATCTCAGATTCCTCAATATTGACATCCAAATACACCTCATAGATGAGATCGAGCTCACCGTATCGGAAGAGGAGTACTTAAAGCTGTTAAATCTGCTCTTTCGTCGAAACTAAGTGTACTTCCCTTTACGGAGATCGAGTATGGCGACTTTAATCTCCCATCGTCAATGGACTCCACCTTTATGTTGGCCTCTATGCTACATTAGTTTATTGATGGTCTACATGAGATGTCTTTACTGCAGGTTAATCGAGAGCTTGATTTAATCATCATGTTGGATTCGTTCGACATTCGTTCCTGAAGACCCTTTTCATCCAACTTTGGAACTGCACCTAAAATCCTATTGTGACTGAAAGTTTGCTACTCAGCAATCTCAATGCAATAAAACCGGTGTACTCCCCGGGTCCTGATGGACTCGCTTGTGAGCTTCATCTTTCCCGACCATTTGAAAAGAATCTTTATAAGAAAGAGAACAAATTTCATGTCTTAAACTTTAGAGGTATAATTTACCTTAAAGCTTTTGAGAGAATCATAAAATCTCAACTGCAACATTTATGTAGCTCTATTATTTCTCCATCAC